GACTGCCCGAGCGGCTCGCGGGGCTCCGGCGGCCCTTCGCTCGCCGCGCCACCGGGGCTGGGCCTCTGCGGTGGGAGTGGGCGCGCTGCTGGTGGGTTGCTTCCTCCTGCCGCACCGACTGGTCGAGAGCGGCAGCATGGGGTGGCGGCTCTGGGCGACGCTCAGCCTGGTCATGCCCTTCCTTCTCCAGGCCGCGCCCCGGACCCTGCCGCCGATCAAGCGGTCGGGGCTCGCACGGGCACGCCTCGGATGCAGCAGGGGCACGGGGCGCCGCCGTGGCCCCAGCCCCGCCCGGCCGTCAGCGTCGGCGGGGCAGGCGTACCACCAGTGGGCGCTCTTGCCGCAGGACATGACCGGTCAGCTCCCGATCAAGGCGGCCCTCTGCAGGGAGACGCCGACCCTCGGCCGCGCGGGCCGTATCCGCCCGCGCCCGGAGGCTCCGCCGTCGACCACGCCGGCCGAGGCGGCATCGGTGTACCCTGTCAGCGGCGTGTACATGATGTTCTTCGCCCAGCCGACCGAGCAGTGGCCGCCAGGCCGCCGGCAGCCCCAGCAGCCCCCTCTTCACCAACGAGGGGCTGTGCGGGCCATCACCCGCGACCGCTGCCGGGCAAGGCGGATGCCGTGCCATGGCCAGAGCTGCCACTTGAGCCGCGTGAAGCCGCAGGCGAGGAAGTCGAGGCTGCCCACCGCCCTGCACTGGCCGCCGGCCGTCACTCTCTCGTCCGACTCGCCTGTCGGAGCGAGATTCGCGATGGAGAGCGAGGGCGACCTCGACGGCCGGCCGCATCCGCTGCGCTCCCAGCCGCCCGCCGCCCTGGCCGGCCTGTCCGGCGACCTGCCCAGCCTGGCGGTGGCGGGCAGCTGCGGCCGCAGGCGGCGGCGAGGCCGGCTGCGGCAGTGGGGTCCGCGCGGGCCCACATGCTGGCTGCCTTCCGCAAGGCCGTCGGCGAGGGGCGGCTGCACAGGCGCTTCGTTTTCGTCGAGCTGTTCTGTGGCGCGGGCTGCATCACGGCGTCGTTGAAGGCGGATGGCTTCTCCGCAATCGGCTTCGACATCGGGCGGGGCGCTCATGAGAATCACTTGGTGCATGAGTTTTTTGAGGTGCTTCAGGGGTGGATCACTTCAGGCTGCATAGCCGGCATCTGGCTTGGTACGCCTTGTACGACCTGGAGTCAGGCCCTTCGCCGACCTCTGCGCTCACGGCGACATCCCATGGGGTTGCCAGGGCTCTCGGTCGGCGAGCAAGCGAGGCTGGAGGTGGGCAATTTGACCTTCAAGTTTAGCTGTAAGGTCATCCGCTTAGCCGTGAAGTGGAACATCGCCGTGTATCTTGAGAATCCAGCGGGCTCGTTGATGTGGCACGCTCCCGAGCTGGCCCGGCTTTTGCATGCGCCGTGCGCTCAGAAGATCCAGTTGCACATGTGCCAGTTCGGGGCGCCGTGGCGGAAGGCGACTTGCGTCGCCGCCTGGAACTCGTTGCCTTTGTTGAAACTCAGTCTCCGATGTTCTGGTCGCTCTGGCATGTGCTCTAAGTCGCACAAACCGCATGTGATATTGTCTGGACACGCCCCCCACGGTCCTCACTTCACTCGTCTGGCAGCTGAATATCCCAAGGGATTCGCACAGAAGTTCAGCCGGGTTATGGAGAGGTCTTTTGAGGATAAGCGTGCTCGGAAGTTTTCAAAATATGCTGTTGACGTGGCCTATGGGAATTGAAGTATATATATTCGGCCGCCTCTTGCATACCTGTAAGTCGGCCAGTTCACCGTACGGGTACGGGTGTGTGCTCTCGGCTTGGCGTTCCTCGGCATCGACGTATCGAAGTCACTGGCCTGGTCAGCCCCTCACACAAAAATGAGCCTGGCGGGAGGGAACGGTTAGGCGAGCTGTCACATTTCACATGTTTAGGCATAGCCCATCCTGGATCCCGCCGCAACTGCCACGCTCAAGTCTTCCCGCCCTCCCTCCCCTTTCGCGTGCCTTTGTGGGTGTGTGTCTGTGCCGTGCCTCTCTCGCCTCTCTCTTCTCCTTTTCAATGCTCAGCAAACTGTGATGCAATCTCTTTATGCAGGGTGTGTGCTCTCGGCTTGGCGTTCCTCGGCATCGACGTATCGAAGTCACTGGCCTGGTCAGCCCCTCACACAAAAATGAGCCTGGCGGGAGGGAACGGTTAGGCGAGCTATATATATATATATGTATTGTTCGCCCAAAATCCCCCTGTGGGGGGAAACGCCCGACCTCAGGTTATGCGGTCGGGGGCCGCTGCTCCGCGTGTCGCGCGGCGGCGGCCCCCGGCGGCGCGCCGCGCCCTGCGGGCGGGCAGCGCGTGGCTCCGCGCCTGCGGGGGCGGGAGGCCCGGGGGAGGCTCGAGACGCTGACGCTTGGAGGGGGAGGAGGGGGAGGAGGAGGAGGGGGGAGGGGGAGGAGGAGGAGGAGGAGGAGGGGGAGGAGGAGGAGGGGGAGGAGGAGGAGGAGGAGGGGGAGGAGGAGGAGGGGGAGGAGGGGGAGGAGGAGGGGGAGGAGGAGGAGGAGGAGGGGGAGGAGGAGGAGGAGGGGGAGGGGAGGAGGGGGAGGAGGATGAAGAAAAAAGCGGCATGAGGAGGAGGAGGAGGATGAGGAGGAGGGGGAGAAGGAAGAGGAGGAGGATAATTAAGAAAAAGCGACATGAGGAGGAGGAGGAGGAGGAGGAGGAGGAGGAGGAGGAGGAGGACGTGGATAGTGGATCGCCAGCTGGCGGAGCGTCACCCCAAGCAGAAGTCCCTGACCGCAGGAGGCGCAGGTCGTCGATTTCTTACTCATGGTCTTACCGATCGGCGCGGGCCCTCGCCCCCCCCCCTTCTCCCCCCGCCCCCCAACGGAGTAGATCTTAGCTCTTTTTGGCGCCTGTTTCAGGCAGATGGAGTCTTTCCCATAGGACGCACTGTCTCAAACAGTCGCGCTAAGCAGAGGTCCACAGCCAGACCCCCTCCTCACCCGCCCTCCCGCCCAGTGGTGTCGAAACGCCGAATAAGAAGCCGTTCACCAGGAGAAGGACGACAACGACGAGGAGGAGGACAAGGAGGAGGACAAGGAGGAGGAGGAGGAACGAGGAGGAGGAGGAGGAGGAGGAGGAGGAGGAGGAGGACAAGGAGGAGGACAAGGAGGAGGAGGAGGAACGAGGAGGAGGAGGAGGAGGAGGAGGAGGAGGAGGAGGAGGAACGAGGAGGAACGAGGAGGAGGAACGAGGAGGAGCAACGTTTCTGACGGCATCTGGACGCCCTCGCCTCAACAGGAGGCGCGTGCTGGAAGGGGCCTCGCCTTCGGCGCGTCCTGCCCTCCGGCGGGAGGACGGCGGACGTGAGGCGGCGGCGGTCCAGCTGGCGGCAGCTCGGCGGAGGGCGACGGGAGAAAGAGTGAGGCGCGGGATGCTCGAAAGTCGGCGGCGAGCGACCCAGACCCCCTCGAGTAATGAAAAAATCATGACGGGAGGTTTTTCCTAATTTTCGGTCTCCGGGGGCCCTCACCGGGCCTCGGGAGCGTCAAAAAACGATTCAGGATGACAAACCGGTCCTGGGGAAGGGGTCGAGAACTCTGGGGTCGACGTAATGAAAAATTCATTACGTCGGGGGTCTGGGGAGGGGGGGAAGCGCGAAGGGGCGGGCCCTCTCAGAAGTCTCGGAAGTCCCCCAGGCCTCCCCCCTCTCGCCCGCCGCCGAAAAAAGGGCACGGAGACAATGGGCACAAAGACCGACGGCATGCCCTGCCCAGTTTGAGCCCGAGTCGCTGTCGGTGTCGCCGCGGGCGGTGCCCATTGGAGACAGGAGGCCGCCGGCCCAACAGCGGCTGCTGCCGGTTTCGGACAAGGTTTGCCGTTGAGCATCGTACCGCTTTTTTTTTCGTGCGCAGTTCTGGCGCCCGAAGAGACGTCCATGTGTTTGGGGAGGGGGAGGAGGAGGAGGAGGAGGAGGAGGAGGAGGAGGAGGAGGAGGAGGAGGAGGAGGAGGAGGATGTGTTTGGGGTTCCGGGGCTCCCCTCACCATGAAGACAGGAGATTCGCGGGGAAGGGGCTTCTTGGGCTGTTTCGCACTCGTCGGCCTCCTGGAGGTCGACCCGAGCCCCAGGGCTGTCAAGCAGGGACCCGCCATTGAGAAAATCACTGCCCCAGGGAGAGCCCCAGGGTCAGGGACCTTCCTGGCGATCCCCCTGCAAAGGGAGCCCCCCCCACACACACATTGAGGTCGATGGGAGCAGCTCCATGCTCTCCTCACCAGCTCCTCGCAGCGCCTCGTTCGCAGAGATAGGATGGGGGGGCAGCGAGGCGGGAAGGAGGGAGCGAGGAGCAGGAGAAGGACCAAGAGGAAACGGAACATAATGAGGCCAGGGTGGAGAGGGGGGAGGAGGAGGAGGAGGAGGAGGAGGAGGAGGAGGAGGAGGAGGAGGAGGAGGAGGAGGAGGAGGAGGAGCAGGAGCAGGAGCAGGAGCAGGAGCAGGAGCAGGAGCAGGAGCAGGAGCAGGAGCAGGAGCAGGAGCAGGAGCAGGAGCGAGGAGGAGAGGGACGAGGAACGAGCGAGGAGCGAACGAGGAGCGGCAGCGGGAGGAGAAGGGACGAGGGGGCAGGAGCGAGAAGGCGAAGGTTAGGAGGGGGAGGGGCAGGGGCATGGGTAAGGGCAGGATGAGCAGGGGCAGGGGCAGGAGCAGCAGGGGCAAGGGGTTGTTCTCGGGGCCCTCTTCGTGGGTCAGGCGATTCCGCCGTCCCTGGTAGGCGCGAAGGAGGAGGAAGGAGGAAGATGAGGAGGAGGGAGCGGGAGGAAGAGGAGGAGGATGGGGAAGGAAGAGAAGCATGCTTGGAAGATGGGACGAGAAGGGTTCATGAAGAGGAGGAGGAGGAAGGAGGAGGAGGAGGAGGAGGAGGAGGAGGAGGAGGAGGTGGAGGAGTGCGAAGGAGTGCGAAGGAGGACGAGAGCAGCAGGGAGACCGTGACGGGGAGGGAAAGGCGAGAGGAAGGGACGGCACCGCAGATTTGGAGCCCACATGCAACTACTTCACCGTCAACTTCCCGGTGCGCGTGAAGAATCGCCAGATCGAGACCGACGGCCTCGAGAAGGCCCGCGGGCGCCAGTTCCCTGCCCCCACACCTCTCTTCTTCGGTCGCCTCCTCGAACGTTTTTGGGGTCTTTTCTGAACCTCTGGATCGCCACGACGGCTTGCGCGATGGACGTCGCTGCGGGTGTCTCCTTGCGCCGCCCACCTGCCCAGCAGCACATCGGCGCCGCGGATCGCCACGACGGCTTGCGCGATGGACGTCGCTGCGGGTGTCTCCTTGCGCCGCCCGCCTGCCCAGCAGCACATCGGCGCCGCGGATCGCCACGACGGCTTGCGCGATGGACGTCGCTGCGGGTGTCTCCTTGCGCCGCCCGCCTGCCCAGCAGCACATCGGCGCCGCCGTGCGCTGGGACATCACACACTAGGCACACCGCCTGGACTGGAACTCCCCGCGGCCGACGATTCCCAGCACATGGCCCTCGCCCTCCGTCCCCTCCCGGCCGACACGAAGCCCTGGTGCGCCGTTCCGCCGCGGCGTGGCACCACCCATCCGCGGGCGCTGTGCACACCCGCTCACGGGACTCGTATTTTGTCACTTTTTTGGGCGCTTGGACCGAACAGCATTTTCTAGGGACCAGGCAAAAATTCTAGACGTTTCGCGTATCCCCACCAGTGCCGGGCTAGAGTTTGGACGCCTTTTGACCCGCTTCACGAGGCCGTTGACCAAAAAAGTATCCCCACCAGCCAGGTGCGTCGATCGCGTCTTCTCCGACCTTCACAAGTTTGGGGTGCCCATGGTTGTGCGGCACTGCTGCCCGCACACCCTGGCCGCCGAGGGGCCTTCTCCCGCGCCATTTTGGCTGCGTACTCACTCTTGTGCTCGTGAAGTTCTGCCCGCACGGCATGGTGCTCCACCTCTTCCTCGTATCGGCTCTGTCGCGCAAGTTTGGCTGCGTCCACCACTCGCCTGAGGCTCGGGGCGGTCCAAGTTCCTCTCGTTCGGCAAGGATGGCTCCGCCCTTGGTCTTCGTGCTTTCGTCCTCGGCACGCTCTTCTGGCGGCTGCTTGCGGGCCGGGCGGTGCTGCTGTACTTCCTTTCCGTCCGTTGGATGCTGTATTGCCTTAGCTGCGGAGCGCGGCCCGCCCTAGCACGCTCCGCCCTAGCACGCTCGGCCGCCCGCGGACCACAAAATATCCCCACCAACCCATCCAGAAACGACGATGTCCAGGCGAGTTGCGGTGATCAGGGAAGTGCGGGAGCAACCAGGGGGACGGCCGAACCGCGCGAAGGAAGGAGGAGGAGGAGGAGGAGGAGAAGGAGGAGTCTGGGTGGATGGGTGAGGGAGTGGGGAGAAAGAGAATGAATAGGATGAGGAGGAGGGGAAGGGGAGGGGAAGGAGGAGGAGGATGAACAGAAGGAGTAGGGGGAGGAAGGAGGAGCAGGAGGAGGAGGGCAAGCAAAAGGGCCAGAGGTTTCTTCGATGCCTCTCGGAACCTCTTGGGATATCTCCTGGGAGCCTCTTGGTGGCCTCTTGGGACGTCTTGGGGGTCCCTTGGCGGTCCTGGGGGGTTTTTGGGCGTCTTTGGTGCCGCTTGGGGTCCTTTGGGGGGCTTGCCTCTTGGGGCCATCTTGCGGCTATCTTGGGGCCTCTTGGGGCCTCCTGGGCGCTACTTGGGGCCATTTTGGGGGACATCGATAAAAGAAGAGGGGATCCCCGATTACTGTTGCCACTCGGGCCCCCCCAAATATGCTCTTTTGGGGCGCTCTTGGAGCGCTCTTGGGCGCTCTTAGGGCCGTCTTGAGGCTCGTTTGGGCTCCTCTCGGGGCTCTCTTAGGCCCTTGAGCACCTTTGGCGGCCGCGCCCCACCTTCTATGGGTTCTCCGCCAGCGGACTGGCATCGACTGGCTGCGCCAGGATGGCATGATAATCTTCGTGGCCTCCATCGCGCCCTCGGGCATCTCGAGGCTGGTCGGTGGCGGGCTGCGCAGGTGGATCGATCTGTCCTGGAAGATGGCTCGAGACAAGATGGTTGCATAAGTCGTCGCACGCGCCGCCCTCGAACTCGCAACATAAACAGTGATACTTTCTGATGGGGGTTTAGCTTGCTTAAGGTTCGTGCTGCTTCTGGTGGACATGTTCCACGTGATAGTCAACGCTCAAGATGCAGGGCTGCTGAATTGTGGGATGAGAATACTTGCTTGCAACATATACACCCGCTGCTTGGAGTAATGGCATAAAGCAGGTTGCGTCTGTGATGAGCCCTTTCATCTGTGATAAGAGTGCCCCCCGCGATGAAAGAAAAAACAAACTTGCCCCGCATTATTTCCCATTTTAAACTCTGCCTGCATGCAAAGTCCCCTTCTTTTCCTCTTCGAACTGGCGGAGGAGGAACGGCGATCTCTTGCCATTCGGGTTGTGGGTAGCTGACTCCGTAGGCTTTGTTGCGAAGCTCGTTGAGATCAATGGCACAAAAATAATCCATGGCCTCCGCATCCGAGATGGGACGCAAGTTAGCGACCGCGTCGCGAATCGCATCGCAGGGGGGAAGCTAGGCTGCCTCGTCCAAGTCTGCAGACATCAGAACTTAATCTGGCGAGGCAAACTCTGTGGGCTTCCCGAAGGCGAAGTGCGGCTTCGGGTCGAATGTAAACGTGCCGAACAGTGCCACTAGAAGGAGCGGCGGTCAGGCGGGTTACCCCAGGATTGGTAAAATTTATCATTTTCAATCGGAATTCTTGCGATGAGGGGAGGACTCGCCAAAACTTCACAACCTCCTTGTTGGTCAAACAAGTGATACGCTCGCCTTCAGAATTTGCGGCCTTGCCACCCATCGCTGCTCGACCCAGTCGGCTGAGACAAGAATCTAAGATATCGTCGTCGGTCGGCGCCAGTGTGAAACTCTTAAGGCCCATAGGAGAGCATTCAGAACAAATCCCATACATAAACAGCGACGCCAGCGAGTGGCCAGGTCAGTAAGACTCCAGAGACCTCCCAGGGAATGAGAGCCACCACGAGCGGCTTGACAGCGACAAACGACTTCAGCACGAGCGGAATCACGCATGGTGATGATCGGTCCCAAATATGTAGCCTCCTCCCTCATTGAGCCCATCCAAGTGCCGAACGATTGCCGATCCCTTGGCGAAGTGCACGAGGAACTTCTGTTCTGAGCGATTTTGGGCGCATCCATACCGAGCTAGCGCTTCGTCTATATGTAAGTCGGTCATCCTGAGCTTGTCTAGGAACGAAGGTAGTAAATCCCCAGGGTCTGCAATAACCATTTTATCCAAGTCGCCGGCGTATTTTCGTGAGGACGCAGCTACTCTCCATCTCCAATCCATCCACTCGCCCACCAATCATTCAGATCTAGTGTCCCATTCGCGCAGCTCCAGCCCGAGCGCGGTCGCAGGCCTGGCCGCGGGCAAGCGCTACGACACCGAGAGCAAGGAGCTCAAGAAGAAGGCGGCAGCAGGCCAGCCGACGGACCACAAGGCGCGCGGGCCGCCGCCCCCCGGCATCTTCATGTCAGCGCTCGGCCACGGAGCGACGCGCGCAGTCCCGAGAACGGCAAGGACACGGAGAAGACGCTGCTGAAGGAGATGCTTCAATTCTTTCAGGAGAAGTTCGCGCCGGCAGGGATCAACGACGCGGCGGCGCTCGTCGGGCACTTCCGCATCAAGGCCCACAAGAACAAGAAGCACGACAACCAGGAGCAACAATGCACGGTGCTGTGGCAGTTCTTTCCCCAGCACCAGCACAGCGCCCTCGTCGACGGTTGGATGCAGCAGCTGATCCTGGCCGAGGGGGGCGTCCGCCTTCACGGCCCAGCGCCCCGCGGCCCGCTCGAGCGCGTGATCAGCCAGTACCTGGAGGACCACAAGTAGATGAGATGAGAAGGCTGCCGCCGCCCCTTGCCCACAGTGATCGCTTAGCTGCTTTGGTAGCGCAAGGTTATGTTCCGCTCGTCCTCCTTCCCGTCCTCGTCATCCTCCTGACCAGTCTAACCCTCCCGATGCCTCGGAGTTGTAGGAGTCGGGGTCGCAGTTTAGCATTCAAATCCCTCGACGTGCCCGAGGAGGCAAAGGGAGGAATGGTTGCAGTGCAAAAGGCAAGGGTTCGAGCTCGCGTTTTCCCCGCGCCTGAAGGCTAGCCGCCCTTTTCAGGGGGTTCCGTGCCTCGAGGGCGTGCTAGCGGGACCTGTGCAGCTTTGGGCTGAGAGTGGTCCACATCTCTGTGATATGGACGTCGGCTTCGTAGGATAAACCTCTTCTGGGTACAACCTCGGGCGGAGCTTAGAGGTGACGCGGTGTTTCGATTACGAAGTCAGTGCTAATCCAGTGCTCCGCTTGAATCTGGACCCCTCGAGCTGGAAAGGAAAAAAGGCCCTCTTGGGTTCGGGTGGCCATCGGAAGCAAGAAGACGAGAAGGCACAAATCATTGGTTTCCTCAACGTTTCGGAAGGATTTTGGCATCCTGGAGGCCTTCCCGGATGTTTCGGAGGCCTCTTGGAGCCGTCTTGGAAACGTCTTGGATCCTCTTGGGGCATCTTGAAAACCATCTCGAGGCATCTCGGGCTCTCTTGAGCCATCTTGGAGGCCACTTCGGGCTCTCAGAGGCCCTCTTGGAGCTGTCCTGGGCCATCTTGGACGTCCGGACCGCTCGCGACCGGCCCCGTCCAGGTCAAGGGGGGGGGGGGAGGTAGGGGGGGGGATTGTTCCTTCCCGAAGGGGAAGAAGGGGAGGGGTTGGAAGAGGAAACTCTCTAGACCAGCTTACGCCCTAAAGGGCTGGTGGGATGTGGGCTCGGCCCCCCGAAAATGTCAGCGGCCCTCCGCCAATAGTTGGACGATCACGTTGCCCGCTCTTCTTTTGTCCCGCCCTTCCCGCCCCGATGTCCTCCACTTCTCTCCTTCGGGGGCGGGAGGAATTTGGATAAACGCGCTGCCCGCTCGCCTTCTTTCCCGCCCTTCCCGCCCCGATGCCCCCCGCTTCTCTCCTTCGGGAGGGGGGGGGGGGGAGCGGCGGGCGGCAGGCTTTTGCTTCTAAGCCAGCCTGGAGAAACTCGGGCCTCGTTCGTGGAGCATCCCTCCTTCGTCTTTAGCTCCAAGTCGGGCGTGTACCTGTACAGGAGGAATATTCAGACACTGTCGAGCTAGCATGGAGACGTTGTTTCTAGTATGTTTGACTGTTTGGGGGATTTGTTGGACGACGTTTTACTTTTCCTCCCCAATCCGCCTGTCGCGGGACATGCCCGACCTAACTCTAGCTCTCTGTGTTTGTGTGGCCACGGCAGTTTTCTTTCCAGCCTGATTTGCGGTTCTTCCAGGGTTGTCGTTTGAGTCAGCGCTCTCGTTGAACAAGACAGCAGCCCTTCCCCCCGATCCTCTTTCCCTTATCCTTCCCCCCCACACACACACACACACACACACACACACACACACACACACACACACACACACACACACACACACACGTGGCTCCAAGGAGGGCGTGGAGGAGGAAAACAGGCGGCATAGACAAAGGGAAAGATAATAACGGAAGGAGACGGGGGGATAGGGAACGATTGGGGGACGAGGGGAAGGGAAGGAATAGCGGTATGAGCAGGGGCAAGAGGAGGGGGAAGGAGGGGGGAGTAGGGTAAGGAGAGGGGGGAAGGAGGAGGAGGAGGAGGAGGAGGAGGAGGAGGAGGAGGAGGAGGAGGAGGAGGAACAGTAAAAAGTAGCGGAAGGGCATGGAAAAGCACGAGGAGGAGGGGGAGGAGGAGGCCTTCGGGGTCGCGGCCTTCCGATAGAGCCCGCGCGCAGGCGAAGGCTATCCTGAAGGGCGCGGTGTTCCCAGAGGAGACGCGGATGCAGCGCGCACGGGGGAGAGGGGTGAGTGGGATCCACCATGGGAGGAGGAGGAGGAGGAGGAGGAGGAGGAGGAGGAGGAGGAGGAAGAGGAGGAGGAGGTGGAGGTGGAGGAGGAGGAGGAGGAGGAGAGGAGGAGGAGGAGGAGAGGAGGAGGAGGAGGAGGAGAAGAACGAGGAGGAGGAAGACGAGGAGAAGGAGGAGGAGGAGGTGGAGGAGGAGGTGGAGGAGGAGGAGGAGGAGGAGGAGGCGGAGGAGGAGGAGGAGGAGGAGGTGACAGGAGGAGGAGGAGGAGGAGGAGGGAGGAGGAGGGATCAGGACGAGGAGGAGTGGCAGGAGGAGGAGGAGGAGGAGGAGGAGGAGGAGGAATTATGCACCGAGTGCTCCTGCTAGCCAGGGAGGGAGGGTAGCGGAGGGCAGGCTGGCACGGGAGGGAGGGAAGGGCAAGGCTTGAGAAGGGAGGGACGGGAGGGGGAGGGACGGGAGGGGCGACGGGAGGGGCACGGGAGGGGAGGGAGGCAGGCACGGGAGGGAAGGCAGGCACGGGAGGGAGGGACGGGAGGGGGGGAGGGGGAGACGGAGGAGGGGGAGGGGAGGAGGGAGGGGGGGAGGGGGGGAGGGCAAGCTAGGTGCGCTCGCGTCATATCTGACGTCCTACCCCTCCCTCCCATCCCTTACCATGGCGCTGATTTTCTCTATCCGCGGACGCGTGTCGTAGCGGACCTGTGGCTCCGCGCGCGCGTGCGTAGTGGGTGGTGGTGCACGTGCGTGCGTGCGTGCGTGTGTGCGTGGTTGTCGTGGTGGTGGTGGTGGTGGTGGTGGTGGTGTGGTGGTGGTGTGTGGTGGTGGTGGTGGTGGTGGTGGTGGTGGTGGTGGTGGTGGTGGTGGTGGTGGTGCTGGTGGTGGTGGTGGTGGGTGGTGGTGGTGCTGGTGGTGCTGGTGGTGGTGGTGGTGGTGTGGTGGTGGTGGTGGCGGTGCGGCGCGGTGGTGGCGGGCGGATGGGCGCGCGAGAAAAAGGCCCGCGCTGGGGCGAGAACGCCATCCTGAACGACGGAGGCCAAACACCGATCCGAAAATGAGGCCCACGCTGCAGCGGGAGCACGATTCGGAACGATTCGGGAGCAGAAATGAGGCCGGCGCCTCAACGAGAGCAGCATTTTGGGAAAAAATGACGCCGGCGCCTCAGCGAGAGTCGTTTCCCGGGATTTCCCGGGAATCCTGTGTAAAAAAAAACAGTACGCGGAGGGTGCGCGGCCATCACCCGGACGCCATCAGGGGAAGAGGGAGAGTATTTTCATATTGAGTAATTGTGGAGGGGGCAGGCTGGGTGCGCTCGCGTCATATCTGACGTCCTACCCCTCCCTCCCATCCCTTACCATGGCGCTGATTTTCTCTATCCGCGGACGCGTGTCGTAGCGGACCTGTGGCTCCGCGCGCGCGTGCGTAGTGGGTGGTGGTGCGCGTGCGTGCGTGCGTGCGTGTGTGCGTGGTTGTGGTGGTGGTGGTGGTGGTGGTGCTGCTGGTGGTGGTGGTGGTGCTGGTGGTGGTGGTGGTGGTGCTGGTGGTGGTTGGTGGTGGTGGTGGTGGTGGTGGTGGTGGTGGTGGTGCGGCGCGGTGGTGGCGGGCGGATGAGCGCGCGAGAAAGAGGCCCGCGCTGGGGTTAGAACGCCATCCTGAACGACGGAGGCCAAACCGAAAATGAGGCCCACGTTGCAGCGGGAGCACGATTCGGAACGATTCGGGAGCAAAAATGAGGCCGGCGCTTCAGCGAGAGCAGCATTTTGGAAAAAAACGCAGGCGGAAACCCAACTCCCGGGAATCCTGTGTGTAAAAAAACAGTACGCGGGGGGGGTCTAATACTTTCAGGCCGCCATCGGGGGAAGAGGGAGAGTAGTATTCATATTGGATAATTGTGGAGGGGGGGGGGGGGGAGGGGGGAGGGGGCAAGCTAGGTGCGCTCGCGTCATATCTGACATCCTACCCCTCCCTCCCATCCCTTACCATGGCGCAGATCCCCTCTCTACTCGCACAGTCGGATGTCAAGCAGGGCGATGATCCCGAAAGGGTACGCGATGCATTGTAGAGCACGGCGTGGCATGGCGTAGAAGAGCACCGCGAAGCGTAGTTTCGACCTAGCATTGCATTGCATGCCGTGGCATGGCACGGGAATGACGCCAGCGCTGCAGCGGGAGCACGAGTCGAAAACGAGCGGAAGCGCGGAAATGATTCCAGCGCTGCAGCGGGAACACGATTCGGAACGAGCGGAAGCACGGAAATGAGGCCAGCGCTGCAGCGGGAGCACGATTCGGAACGAGCGGGGCCCGAAAATGAGGCCGGCGCCTCAGCGAGAGCAGCATTTTGGGAAGAAATGCAAGCGAAAACCTAACTCCGGGGAAGGCTTCCTGGGCGCCAGAAGCAGAAATTCATTATTTTCAAAAGAAAAATTGGATTGGAATGGCCTTTTTTCGGCGCCGCCTCGGAACTCAACTTTCCGGCGCCGGCCAGAACCGGCTCCGGACCCGGCCCGGGCGCCGGCCCGGGCGCCGGCTCGGGCGTTCGGCCGGGGCGCCGGCTTGGGCGCCGGCCTGGGCGTCGGAATCGGGCCGGGAGGCCTCCCGGGCGCTGGAAGCAGAAATTCAGCATTCTCAAAACAAAATGTGTATTAGAATGGCCTGTTTTCGGCGCCGCCTCATCGGAACTCGATTTTCCGGCGCCGGCCGGAACCGGCCCGAGCGCCGGCCCGGGCGCCGGCTCGGGCGTGCAGCCCGGGCGCCGGCGGAAATGAAGCCAGCGCTGCAGCGGGAGCGCGATTCGGAACGAGCGGGGCCCGAAAACAAGGCCAGCGTCTCAGCGAGAGCAGAATTTTGGAAAAAATGCAGGCGAAAACCCAACTCCGGGGAAACCTGTGTGTAAAAAACAGTACGCGGGGGGGGGCGAATACTCCCAAGACGTCATTTGTGGAAGAGTAGAGGGAGAGTAGTATTCATATTGAGTAATTGTGGAGGGGGAGTCGGAGGAGGAGGACCAGGACCAGGACCAGAGGGGGGCTTTCAGGAGCCTCTAGGGGAGGAGGAGGGCTGTTCACCGAACGGCTCAGTGAGCAAGAGGATGGGAAGGGAAGGTTGGCAGGGAGGAGGAGGAGGAGAAGGAGGAGGAGGAGGAGGAGGAAGAAGAGGGGAAGACGATGGACAAGTCTTCCCCCTTCACTTCCATCCCTCTCATAAGCAAAGCTTCTTCGTCGCACCACTCGACGCGTCGTTGGGACGGGCCGGGCATTTCGATTGAGACTTTCCCTTCGCTAATGTTCTCAAAGCTTGCAATGTCCGACTGCTGCGCGGATGGAGAGCGAGCTACTCCAAAATGTGACCGCCTTCGCCCCGCCCCAGCGCATTTGTCCTACCAGCTTCCGTCAAATCACCATAGCGCCGCGCACATTTGTCGTAGAGTTTCCAAGAACCAGTTGCGTGGAGCATCGGCGGCTTTCCAGATGAGGTTCTTGTCGTAGCGCCGCGCAAATTCGCCTTAACAGTTCAAGCAGCGACTCGAATCGAGGGCAGTTGGGGTTCAACACGTGGCTCTCGTCGTAGCGCCGCGCAAATGCGTCGCATGAGCTAGCAACGGCTACCAGAGTTGAGGGCAGCTTTTTCCCAACACGGGCTCCTTTCAAACCGGGACTTTCGCTCGAGGTGTATTTGCATTTGCTTGCACGTCCTTGCCAAAGTCGCCACCTTGCGCAATAGTCACCAGGATGGAGGGCGGCTCTTTTATCACACTGGGTTTATCGCTAGAGTTGTTTGTATATAAAAGGTGGACAGCACTGTAACAGGCTTGAACAGTTATACTGATGGAGGGCGGTGCCTTTTCAAAACGAGGTTCTCATTAGTGCATTCCTTGGACTGTGTGTCCTGCACTCTCGCAGTATATGTATAGAACGACGCAGGGCAGCTCCCCGGTGGAAACGGCACGTCTTTTGCCAGTTACCAGTGGGGAAATTGTGACGGGAGGGTGTGCTTCAGTATCGTTGACACGTGTTGGATTTACTTCAGTCTTCCTCCTCCTCTGCCACGTGCGTTTCTCTTCCAGTTCTTCGTCCTTCTCCTCCCACCCTTCTCCTCCAGTCCCTTTTTACTGTCCTTTCTTTCCGCATTCCTCCCCCCCTGTTTTCCACCTCCTCCTCCTCCTCCTCCTCCTCCTCCTCCTCCTCCTCCTCCTCATCGTCCTCTCTCTTTTCCTTGTTTCTCCTCCTCCGTAGCCATTTTGGCTCAAGACCATGAGTTCCTCAGGGGAACAAGTGGATACCGCTAGTCCGCGGCCAGTTCGCAAGGTTTGGTCATCTTCCGATTTTCGCAGTATGCTGCCCAGCCGCTGCGACTCCGCGGGCCTCCTCACGCTGGGCGCCAGGGGTAAACGGAGGTTTCTCCCGGTCCTGCGGCGCTCGTCGTCATGCCCGAGTTGGTCAAGCGCACGGGCCTCGCCAGGCATCAAGTCCGCCCAGCGCCGCAATAAGAAGGCTGGGGGTGCGACAGTTCTGGATCCTCCGTCCATGGCGAAGCTCAACATGGTGGCGCCTCCTCGTGCCCCTGGTGCTGCTGCTGCTGCTCATCCTGTACCCGTTCCCATTCACAGTGACTCTGGTGGGCGTGAAGAAGATTGGCGTGATGATGAAGAATTGGGATGATGAGTACATCGTGTGCATCGCCGAAAAGCTCACTGCGGACAAGATGGTTGCCTACCGCGACGCGCTCGTGGGCGAACTCACCGCGGTCGTGGCATCCACCGTCTCTGAGCAGGTTCAGGACTTCGGCGCGCAACTGGCCGCTTATTCTGCTTCTGCTGCTAAGCTTGCTAACGGTCCTCAAGATGTGTTCCGGCGCCTCCTCCCAGTTCTGTTGTGACAAGCTGCGCCTTCGCGAGGCACTTCCAGGAGCAGATCGACGGACAGACCGTCAAGATGCGAGCCCTCGATACCAGGGTCACCGAGCACGACGCCTCCCCC